TCTGCAGACAGACACACAGAGCCTCTGCAGACAGACAGACACACAGAGCCTCTACAGACAGACACACAGAGCCTCTGCCATTCTCAAGCGGGGTGTATGGAATGGAATGAGAGGAGGTGAAGCTAAGTTATAATATAGGCACGTGTGAAATTGAGAAAAGAGAAAGCATCGAGCCAGGTGTCCATGACTCATGACTATAATCCTAGCAACTCAGGAGGCTGAGATCTGAAGATGGCAGTTTGAAGCCAGCCAGGGCAGGAAAGTTCATGAGACTCTTATCATCAATTAACCAGCAAAATGTTGGAAGGGGAGCTGTGGCTCAAGCAGTAGAGTGCCAGCCTTGGGTAGAAAAGTTAAGAAATAGTGCCCAGGCCCTGACTTCAAGCCTGAGAACTGGTATGTACACACACACACACACACACACACACACACACACACACACACCACAAACAAAACCAGTAAGTACTTGTATAATGATTCTTTACCTTCTCCCTTCTTAGCTGTGCAGTGCCAGGAGTTTCCCGTGCCCAGAAGGGCCCAGATGAATTGCTCACATCCTTTTGGACCATTTCAGCATCAGTCGGTCTGCAGCTTCTCCTGTAGAGAAGGTTCCCTCCTGGCTGGAGCAAGGGTGGTCCGCTGCATGGCTACAGGACGCTGGAGCGCCCCTCCCCCAGAGTGCCGGGGTAAGGGCGCATTGCCTTTGGGAATAATTGGGGTGATCATTGCAAATGGAAGGCTGCGTTTTAGAGGCGGTGGGTGTGTAGGGCCGTGTTTGACAGGGGCTGGAAAATGAAGGCATATCATCATTCATGCTTTCATTGGTAACCCAAGGATCCCAAACGCAAATATCTGCAGAGGCTACGCAGAAACGTGTGTCTAGACACCTGGTGACAGGGGAGAGGGCTGTGGTGGCCCAGCAGACTCCTCAGCGGGCCTTTACCAGGACCTCGGGGTGCCCATCACAAATTAAGTATCTGGAAATAAGATTCGAAGGAAAACAGAGGCAACACCCCCTCTGAGCTCCCTGCATGTTTCCCAAAGCTGATGTGGACCTTCCTCCTGGGGTCCTGGGCTGTACAGGTAGAACGGGAGAATCTAATGCAGAATCCTCCAAGATGTAGATAGGAGAGTTGGAAAGAGGAGGAACCCACTCCACACATGGAAGTTACTGGATTCTCAGAAGAAATGTACAACTTCAAATACAGGTGTTTAAACCTGCATTGTCTATGATATTAAAAAGCCAGTGCCTTCTGCTGATGCAGAAACAGGCCTGGCTCTAACTGACTGTGTTTGCAAACTAAAAACCAGATTTTTGGGGGGCGGAGGGAGGAAGCACCAGTCCTGGGCCCAGGGCTTTGGCCCTGCTCAAGGCTAGCACTCTACCCCTTGAGCCACAGCTCCAGTAATAGATTTTTGGTGGTTAATTGGAGATAGAGTGTCAGCCTGTCCTGCCCAGGCTGGCTTCAAACCACGATCCTCAGATCTCAGCCTCCTGAGTAGTTAAGATTATAGGCCTCAACCACCAGTACCTGGGTCAGATGTCTACTTTTATCTTCTATATTACTTCTCCCCTCAGTGTATGAAACTCTATTTAGATTTATGGCAAATACTGTTTGCCAAAAGCAAGGTTCTCATTTATAAAATCTATAGAACAAGAAGAATCCAGAGAAGTAAATCCATCCTCTTAAATATCCCTAGCCTAAACTATTGTTCCCATTCTGGTATGATTTTTCCCCCAATATTTCCCCATCTGATTCCCTGCCTCCCCCAGGCAATGAATATTTTTATGGTATACATACATATATATGTAATGTTAATGATAAAACCCAAAGGGTAAAATATTTTTGCACTACTTGCCCTGCCTTTCAACATCAGAGTGAAGGCAGGCAGAGACACATCTCTATGAAGAGGAAACCGCTTTCTCTTCAGGTCACACACAAATGTGCGTGTGTGAATGGATATGCATTTTACGCTTGGGTTGTGTTAACAGTACAAACAAACAAACAGACACAAAACCAAAGAGTAATTACTGACGGAACTGAGCAGAATCGGATTCCTTCATCCCCACACAGGGGTGCGGTCAGCCACTGGAGTTGGGGTCCAGGGCCCAGCTCTGGGTCTAGAAAGCACAGGTAGAGCTGTAGTTCCCCCCCTTAGCACCCACCCTAACTAAGCCTCAACCTGCACACAGCCCTGAGCCCGCTCATCCTGGGGAGACGAAGCGGCTCATCAGAACTCTGGGGGAAAGCCAGGGCTGTGCAGGGCACAGGCCACTGTTCATTGCTTCACCTGTGTGGCTGGTGTGGGCTCACAGCCAGAAGGAGGTGGCCACCCCCCTGGCTTCAGGTGACCTTCCAGCTCCTTCTGCTTTTCGTCCTTTGTTTACTCTGACTGAACTTTCTCCTCTTGTTGCTGGGAACGCTTCGAGTGAGTTTCCCAAATGTGGTCAGGGCCGGGAGGTGTGTCTTGAGGCTGTTGTAACACTTCGAAGAGAGTTATCAGCCGAGTTCCCTTTTTACTGTCCGCAAGAAGACCAAGCCACAGAAGAGCTGGAAATGGTTCCACCAAACCAAGAACTTGAGGCACATCTGCCCCTTGGGTCTTTACTAACTTAGGAGCTCTCTGCGTGGTCTCTTCTCCCTCCACCGCACCCCACACATAGGCACAGAAGACAGAACGGCTTTCCACGTGGATGGAAGGAACTTGAATCTGGGAGGGAGGGCAAAGGATGTTGGGAAGAGAGAGTACAGAAAATGGCTTTCCAAACCTCTGGCCAAACCTCTGGAGTAAGCGGCTAAAAATGGCCCCAGAACAGCCGTAGCACCCTCTTATCTGGTGTAAAGTCACACACTTCTAAACTAAGCCCTTGCAAGACCTTGAAACTGGGTATAGCTGAGTCCTTACTTTATTTTTATTTTGGATGATTAGCACCTCCTATTTGTTAGGCAAGATTTATGCTGGTTGAGCAATAGTCCCAGCCTTCGTTGCTTTATTTTGGGGCTAGTTATTTTGCTCTAGCATTTTTGGTCCGGGCAGACCTAGATAATGACTCTCCTATTTATGCCTCCCAGGTAGTTGGAGAGAGGGCACATTCCACCATGTCTAGCTTGTTCATTGAATGGGGCTCGCACTAGCTTTTTGCTAGAGCACAATCTCCTGAATCTCTGCCTCCAGAGTAGAGGGATGAGATGCCATACCCAACCCTAGCCTTGACTTTTTATGTCAACATATTGAATCTAGGCTTTACTGTTTCCTTAACCACACAAGGAACGACTGTCAACATTTGTATTGAGAGTATTTTCAATCTTGACTTTAAAGAATCTTAGAAACTAGGTAATATTATTTTCCTCCTTTAAAAATATTGAGATTCAGAGAGATTAAGTGACTTGCCAAAAGTCACAGCACACCATCACCAACCCAGTCAAATAAGTCCTCTACTACCTTACATCATGTGTATATGCTGTGCAAAGAACTGAGAGGTCCAATTCACTTTTTTGTAAAGTGAACAAAAAGAGTCATTTATGACTGACCACTGTGGGATGAGGCTTTTGAGAAGAAGTGTAAATTGTCATTTGCAGACAGTTAGTGAATTTTTCACCAACACTGTGTCCATGATTTTTGTGTTGTCTTTGAAATTTGATTTTTCTATGTGAATTATTACTATTCCTTCTATAGCTAGGAAGGCCTGCAGGGCAAGGATTATACTTTTCCTCCTTCTGAGTCTCAGATTTGCTGTACACTAACATGGTCTTTTCTCTTCTTGCATGTCCACCGTAGCTATAAGCTGCACACCTTTGCTAAGTCCTCAAAATGGAACAGTGACTTGCGTCCAGCCTCTGGGAGGTTCCAGCTACAAATCCACATGTCAGTTCAACTGTGATGAGGGGTTTTCTTTATCTGGACCAGAAAGACTGGATTGTACTCCATCTGGACACTGGACAGGCTCCCCTCCAACATGTAAAGGTAGGAACCAAGGTCTGTTTTTTCTTATGACTTTCCAGGTAATATCATGGGATGAAAGAATCATCAGAGATTCCTATGAAAGTGTCCTCAAGCTAGAACAACACATCATCCACAAAGCATGGGAGTTAGACCAAGCTTCCTTTTTAGTCCCTTCGAACAACCTTTCTATCCTCATACAATCATCTACTTTCATAGTGTTATAAAGTTCTTTCCTGACGTCCTAGGAAATGATGTTTAGCAAAATTCTGGAATAATGAGTATCACCTCCATTTTACAGATGTAGAAGCAAAGGCTCTGAAAGAGTAACTTGCTCAAGGACAGCCATTAGGAAATGACGAAGCTCAGCCATTTCACTGAGACCTTTGTGATGATGTCTTTAGAAGTCATTTAGGCTGTTCCTTCCTTCCTTCCTTCCTTCTCAAACTTGCCATTACCCAGCACTAAGTCCCCAACGCTGAAGATATTCAGGGATGGATGTGACAGAACTCTTTTCTACTGGTTCTTCCTTCTATTTCCATATCAATTATAAAGTCCTCGAGAGCAGAGCCTGTGCCCCCTCCACCTTTTCATCCTCTGCCGTTGCTACATTGAGTTAAAGGAGGTTGTGGCAAGTATTGTTGACATGAAGCTCATCCTGCTCACTCTAGCACAGCATGACAGACAGTCAATTAGTGGAATCCTCAAATTCAAGAGCAGATCTTTTCTGTATTTGCTTCCCTCAAAGAATCTGGTAGGCCCACTACCTGGCATGTAGACTAACACAGACTGAACTATTTCACAGTTCTATTTGGTTTCAGAGAGCACAGCAGTTCCAATTTATTTTTCAGTAAGTCAAAGTTGGTAATAACAAGACTAGCAGGAATAAGCAACCTTTAGTGTATGTGCAGTACCAGGCGTTTTTGTATGTATGATTACATTCTACACAAACCACTGTTAGATGATCATCATCTCCACCGTAAGCCAGGAGAAACTGAAACTTTGAGAGAACCAGCTGGCAATGGTCACATAACCAGGGTGCATGGGAGTCAGCAGGATTCAGGTATTTCTCACTGTTGGACCATATTGCCACCTAGTGGCAGAGCGTCTAAATTCTGGGTCTGTCACCAATACATTTAGTCTGCTGCAGAGTTGCCGCCAAAACTGCTGAAATAAACCTTAGAAACGGCAGTGACTATATCAGTAGAAATCTACTGAGTCGTATTAAAAACTGCTAAGCTACTGTTATTCCTCCTTGTACAATAGCATGGGCTGCCCTTCCCCCCTTGTCCTCCCTCCCCAGCAGGAAGGAAGCCTCGTTACCCCCTGGAGGCTGAGGAAGGAGAGGAGTGGACGATAGCATCTCCAAAGCCATTGGGCTAGCCAAGAATTTCTCTTTTTTCTTTTGTTTCCTGGCTTACTGGGGCTCGAGTCCAGGGCTTCACACATACTAGGCAAGCCTGTAGCACAGGGGTATTTTGTCTTTGCTTAGGGTTCTAGAGTACTGGGGTTTGAAGCAGGGGCATAGTGTGCCAGGCTGGCACTCTACCAAAGGGGGCACTGGACTCACACCCCTGTCTCGGACGTCTGTTATGTTAAAGGTCATAAAATGCTGCCATCTGCTGTCCAAAGGATAGAATTCCTCTTACGTAGTTTCTGCTACTTTCTTTCATGGCTTTTTCTCATTTTCAAATAAACTTTCTCCTGGGGGGGGGGGGGAGGAGGGAAGATAGACTACTAGCAGCTAAGAAATCTAGCTTATTTAGGGATTAGACAGCAAGGATTGGGCTTTGTTGCTCATCCTCTCTCTCATGTATTATTCCACTGATAGTTATCATAAGCTATACGCTCCAATGTTCTGTTTTAAGGCAAAGCAAAAGTCCTTTTGAAAATCCCGCCAAAGCTTAAAATCATTTATGCAGCCAACATGATTGTTCAGTCTGTAATACGGTTTTCTTTCCTCCTCCTCAGTCCTCTTTTTCCTGTGGAAGGGGGTTTCTGCCTCTCACCCGTGAGCCCAGTTCCCATTCATATCTAGAAAGATCCCTGACCAGTGGACGCAACCTTTAGTCAACTATGGTCCTCAGAATTGAAGGCTCTATGGTTAGAATCCAATGGTCTTATTTTGATGTTGAGACGTGGTTTTGAGGGCGCCTATGTTTCTCTCTTGTTTTCCAAAATCCATGTTCTACACTCTTCTTTTCCACATGCAGAATCTTATCCCTGAACACTGTCCCAGAACACTGCTTTTCACCTGGTATTTTGCACAATTTTAGGGTACATCAAAGGGGCTTAGGGACCACCAAGTATGAAGGGCAAGCGTGGCAGGCGGAACTCAGAGTGATGCAAAAGTTTTGAGATAGTCTTGAAATAGTTCTACAAATCGCTTTAGCAAGAATGCCAGTTCCCTGGGGCCGCTGGGGCCTGGGCTGCGCTGCTCTTTCACGCCTCCTCCCTGCCTTTGCTGTCCAGGGCCTTGCACTAACATCAGCTCTCCAGCTCATGGTTAGATTCTGCCACTTGAAGCATGCCTCCAGTCTGGCATTGTGCTGGTTAATTGGAAGATACACACTCACAGACTTTTTTTTTTTGCCTGTCTGGCTTCAAACCCTGTTTCTCTAGCTCCAGCTTCTTGAGTAACTAGAATTACAGGTGTGAGTCACCAGTGCCTGGTCAAAAAGTTCTTGATTTACTATCCATCTCAAGTGAAGTGAGGCAAAAAAAAGAGAATTTTCTAAATATTTAAAAAATAATATAAAGCAATATGTTTTATGTTGATGATTAGAGTAGCAGAAAACCTAATAATTCATGGATTCATACATAATTATGTCTATCTACTTAAGTAGATATACTTTCCCGATTCACTACTTAGTGAATTAGGAAGGCATCAGCTAAGAAACATGCTTACGACACAACTACTTCCAAGGCAATGAAAATAGAGCCCTAAGCATGGGATGGTCACAACCCTTAGTTGTTTTCTACTCTGATTATACGGGTTTGACAATGCTTCCTACTCGGTTCAAGAGTATGTTCCTCTCTTTAAAGATATGCACAACATTATTCCTTTACGGGAATCCCTTCCTTTGTGTCTATACCGGACTCTTCCCCTCCAGCTGCATCATGGGTAACAACACAGATTAAATTTCGTTCTTTGAGTGTCTACCACATGCCAGGTCCAGGTTAGGCTTCCGTAAACCTCCACAGGGCCGCGCCTCAGACAGGAAAGCGGCTTTCTTGAATGATTTAAAAATGATTTAAGAAAATGGTCTTGAGGTTTGAGTCACAGTTTCACAATCTCTAGACAGGCACTCTCCTTGAACCAGGCCTCCAGCCCCTTTTGCTCTGGTTACTTTTGAGGTGTGGTCTTGCGTTTTGCCTGGCTGCCTGTGCCACAATCTTCCTATTTATGGCTTTCCTTTGTAGCTGGGAGGATAGATGTATGTCACCACGTTCAGCTTTTGCTGTTGAGATGGGGTCCTCGTGATACTTTTTGTCTCCGCTAGTCTTGAACCACGATCCTTCCAGTCACAGTAACTCAAGTAGTTAGGACTGCAGGTGTGAACCACCATGCCCAGCTCAAAACTTAGCTATCTTGACCAGAAATTTGAAGCTTCCCTCTGCAGATAAGATAAGATGGTGGGAATACAAGAGAGGATATGGAGAAAAGAGGAAGGATGTGACTTGTTGAGTTTAGTGGCGTAAATCTTTGATTTCCTTCTCTCTGTGACCTCTACATGTATTCCTCTTCACAAGTTAACCATCCTTCCCCCCATCTTCTGTAATTAACATCCCATTTTATGTGTTGTGGAATTTTGGCTGCTTTATAGAAGAGTTGGAATACCATAGATGTTCAGTAAATACTTGCTGCATATACGAATCAATAGACGCTGCCTAACGTGGACATTGTGGTGTTCTCAATTTGATACTCCAGTCATCCAGTGCCCAGAACTCTCCGCTCCAGAACAAGGCCACATGGACTGTTCTCACGCTCACGGGCCATTCAGCATTGGCTCCTTCTGCAGTTTCTCCTGTGGTAAGGGCTTTGTGCTGGAAGGATCGTTCGGTGTGGGGTGTACCATGGCTGGGCGATGGTCTACAGCTCCACCAACCTGCAAAGGTAATGCACACTCTCTGGGACAGACTGCTTTTGGAAATTTTGTCCACAAGGAGCGCACTCACATAGCTCCTATAGATGATAAACAATTCGATTATGATTGGACATTGTAAACAGCCTGTGGATTATACAATTCTAAAGACTGACAGACTTCTAGGCTTGTTAAGACATAGCGATTCTTATAGACATCTTGTTTTTATAACTTGAGGTTCTTTTTCTCAAAGAGTTTTACTGAACAAAGTAAATGACACCCACTACTTCATTGCTGAAAGAGTACAAGGACTGCAATCACCATTTCAAATGTTCAAATCAGGCAACAGAGGGCAGAGAGTTCAATCATCATCTCTGCGCCATAGCAAAGCCATTTCACGTTGAACTTTAGATAGGACGAACATCATCTCCCAATAAAGTCGGGAACGCAGACCACTGACACAGGGATATTCAACTTTTTACTGAATTGTCCTATTTCTTTGTGTGTGTTGGGGAAAGGGGGTCCTAGGGCTTGAACTGGGCCTGGGCGCTGTCCCTAAGCTTTGTTGCTCAAGGCTAGCACCCAACCACTTGATCCACAGCTCCACTTCCAGCATTTTGTTGGTTAATTGCCCAGGCTGGCTTTGAACTGTGAGCCTCAGATTTCAGCCTCCTGGGTAGGCATAAGCCACTGGCACTCAGCAGAATTGTCCTATTTCTGTACCAACTGTCCTGTGGCTTCTTTAAACGTGTATTGGTAACATTTCTTCTTGGGCCCAAGATACCATCTCTTCAAGGAAACTTAAATAATTTTCCTCATAAGGTTTCCCATACCTGAGATGCATAATTTATCCATTTTTTTGATCTAGATACTGATAGAACTGCCCTCAATTTGAAAGAAGTGGGGCACAGCTATTCTATACGAATCTTAATTTAGATAAGCTCCTTGTAAATGAGAACACCTTGAACGCTTTACATTAAAACATTTTTCTCACAGCAGGTGCAGCATCACGTCCTACTAAAGTGGTAAGATGTCCAGCCCTCACCATTCCCGGACAAGGAACAATGTCCTGTCCAGGAGCCTTTGGTTTGAATACCACTTGCTACTTTGGATGCAAAGCTGGATTCACGCTCATAGGAGACAGCGCTCTCAGATGCAGGCCTTCAGGACAATGGACAGCAGCAACTCCAGCTTGCAGAGGTAATGGAAGGAGCCGGATGTCTGATGCCATCTTCCCACCGCTACTTAGGTTACCCAGGATTCCTGCTGAAATCCTTCCCAAGCCCCAACAACCATTCAAAGTGCCTGCTCCCCATGAAATCCTCTGCCTGCCCTCTTGCTATAAGTTAATACCCTAGACCTAAAGGAGGAAACATTTATAGAGGTACAAAATGTGTTAGAACTCTAACTCTGCTAAACATGAAAGTAGATGAACTTTAAAATATAAGAGCCAATTTCATTAATTAACACATAAACATCCCAGCATTTCATAGTAATTGTCATCTAGTTAGTTCTGTGTGACATCTTCCAACTCATGAAACGTTGAGCTCTGTCTCTTTTTCGTTGTGTGCCAGTACTGGGGCTTGAACTCCTTTTCTCTCAGGGCTTTGCCATTTGAGCCTCTGCTTGACTTCTAGCTTTTTTTTTTTTTTAACCAGTCAAATGGCGATACAAGTCTCTGGGACTTGTTTTCCCAGGATGACTCTGAACCGTGATCCTCTGATTTCAGCCTTCCAAGTGGGTTGCAGGGCTAGCCACTGGATTATAGGAATGGCCACTGTGTAGTATAGCCACTGGTGACTGGCTGCGCATCACTTTGACTTTCTATTCCTCACAAAACACAGCACGGAGCCTTTTCAAAATGCTGCTACTGCTTATTAGTGTTTAGTTGAATCAAATTTAATTTCCTGAGGATAGTTTCTTATCCATAAATTAGAATAATCTGAAGCCCCCTGAAAAATAGTTTAAGTGAAGTGATGGTCTCTACTTCTTTTAAACTTCCAGTGTCCAGCTGTACTGAAGACTTGCTATCTATTCCGATAATCACAAGCCCTAGTCATCATCATATATTGATACTATCTTTTAGAACAGTTGTATTTTTGAGAGGCAAAAAATGTGTAAATAGTACTTTTGGAAGTACTAGTTTATTGAATGCTAGATCTGCCCCTCCTTGTTCTTCCATCCTTTAAGTGGTATTTTTTTTTAAAGTATGTGTAGTATTGGATGGCTGGAACAAATACTGGAAGTGGTTGATTTCCTTATTAACCTTGAATATTCTAGTTGACAATGAAATCACAATCTTCATTTACCTTCATTCTGCTTGTTTGTGTCTCCTTCATTCTCTTTTACCTACAGCCATCAAATGCCCAGAACTGCACGTTAATCAATCAATAGTGATGAACTGTTCCAATCCCTGGGGAAACTTCAGCTTTGGCTCAACTTGCACTTTTCACTGCTCAGAGGGTCAGTTGCTTAATGGCTCTGCAAAAGCAGCCTGCCAAGAAAACGGCGCCTGGTCAGCTATCATGCCAACCTGCCAAGGTATATAGGATTTAAGGTCACTCAACGTGAAACCGGTGTTTCTTTTTTTGTATATTTTTTCCACAGTGGTCTTCCTTTCCATCATTGAGTTCCCCTCCTTAACACTTTACCATGAGTCACCCAGAAACTCCATGTGAAGTTTAGTTAAACAGTAGAAACTCAATTCAGCAATTCTGTGTAGATGTTTGCCACTCTGTTTCCAGTGCTCAGATTTGTGAAATGAATTTCTCCTTTATTCTAACCTCTGTTAAGCTGGGAATTCTTTCACAAGGAGTTCTAATTTATTGTCTCAGAACTTTGTTTGCCACCTACCTCTAAAAATACCTCAGATTTTTTTCTTCAATTATGTTCCACCTGTTGGCAAGCGTTAGCTCAGCCTCCAATGTTCCCCTTACCTATACTTCCCCAGTGGCTTGCTATGGTGACTTTCTGTTCCATGGTCGAATCTTCGATTGCTAAAGAAAAATTACTGTGGGTTATTCTTTTCGCCTAAGCTGTCATGCTTAGCTGACCGCTGTAGAAATATTGTTTGATAGTTAAGCCTTAGGAATGCAACTGGGCCTTGCTTCCTCGTCTGTGGCCCTGGGTTTCATGTGTGCGTGTTTGTTTCACAGCGGCGTCACTGACTATCCAGGAAGTCCTGGCTTACCTCGGTGGAGCAGTGGCTTCTACATCAGCTCTGGCCATGAGTGGGGTACTCCTGGCTCTTCTAAGAAAACGCTTGAGAAAGAAAGGTAAATAAGAAAAGAGCTTCCTCTTGCTTTCTTGTTGCATGTGATTTGGGATTGGGGTGTTCAGCCAGCATGTTAGTAGTTCACGTTTAGAAACATTTCATTCAAAGACCAAAAAAAGGGGGGGGCAACAGGAATTACCTGCCCATCAGAATCACCTGGAGACCTCAGGGAACTCTTGCCTTAAAATTCAGATGATTCAAGACTGCAGCACAGCACTGGGAGCCTGTGGAATCTCCCAATTACCAAAACGTCCCTCACTCACTCCTTCCTACCACAGCCAACAGGTCCACACTGCTAAGCAGTGAGACCCATAATGATAGTCCCTCATTCAAGGGGAGACAAGGTAAGGTAGGAAAGGAATATGAGGATAAAACACAACCTGATATTTCCAGAACATTAGAATAGAGATGCTCAAACCATTCTGGTATGGCCAGAGGAGCTTTCCTGAGCTTTGGAGTTCAAGTGGAGAAAACAGCCTGTGGGAAGACATGAAAGAGCAGCTGCTGGGCCATGGTGTGCTGAGCAGCGCAGAGCACCTGAATCCACAGGGGCTTACAAAAGAGCAGAAGGCGAAGCTGAGGGTGTAAGGGACTGCTGCATTACTAGTGACCTGACATGGTGTATCCAGAAAGCTGCATTCTTCCCTGAAAACTCATGGTGTTGATGCAGGATGTAAGCAGTGATGTAGCCAAAGAGATGAAGACTAAGAGAAACTTCATCATACTATTCATCATTAAAAAGGAGTTGTGGTCTATTTGAAGATCTATCTACTCACTGCTCTAAAGAGTACCTGCTGCTGGCTCATGCCTGTAATTCTAGCTACTCGGGAGGCTGAGATCTGACAAAGTTAGAAGCCAGCCTGTGCAGGGAAGTCCATAAGACGGTTATTTCCAATTAAGCACCAAAAAGCTGGAAGCAGAGCTGTGGCTCAAGTGGTAGAGCACTAGCCTTTAGCCAAAAACAAAACCAAAACTCAGGGACAGCATTAGGGCCATGAGTTCAAGCCCCAGGAGCAGTAATGACTATCAGTAATGACTATCAGTAATGACTCTGACACTTCATATCATTGTTTTATTACCCCCCTTTTAAACCAATTATTCATGTCTTCTCATTCCTTTCAGATGATGGGGAATGTCCTCTGAATCCACACAGGTAAGACACAAGTAGTCTATGAATTGAGTTTTGCTAGTTTGACTTTCTGATTTGCTGTGTCAGGATAACGTGTATGCGATGTGTGCCTCCTTATTTTGTAACTTTTTTGGGGGGGGGCACGTCCTTTTTTTACTCTCTTGAAGTACAATGTTCAGATAATAGAACCTAACTACAGATCATGTAGTCAAAATCAGCAAGTGCCCCAATTATAGCATAAGGAGAACATAATGTATAGTAGACACAGAGTGCTCAAGCCCAGAAACCACCCCACTGCCCCAAGGGAAGATGGTGGCAGGCTTTATAACTCTTTTGTACAGTTGTTCACCATTTTGAAAACTCATTCTGGTATTGGCCAGGTTTTGCTGCCTTGTGAGTCATTATCACAACCATCTCCTCCTTACACCAGTCTGGACATTTCCTATAATCTGGAAAGAAGTGAAGTGGGTATAAAAATGTAAAGTAATGCAAATTACCCGCAGCTGTTAAGGAAGCATCTTGGAAACTGCACATGCATTTATTTTCCTTTCCAAATACAAGCAGACAGAATTCCAGGGCCAACGTGGCAGCCACAGTTTCTGGAGACACTGTGCCAGATGGTGTTGACTAAGCATTACATGGTGGTTCATGCTTGTGTTTCTCTTCTTTAGCCATCTAGGAACGTATGGAGTCTTTACAAATGCAGCATTTGAACCAAACCCTTGAAGGTAAGTGACCTTTGAAGGCATTTTTTTTTTAAAAAAATGGAAGAGTAGGGAGAAAGGGAAGACTTGAAAGCTTGATTCTTTTAACATAAATATGTACTGGATTTTAAAGCAATGTTAGGATACTGTATTGGCAGGAGTAAATATGCACAGCAGAAAAATGACAAGGGAATAGGTTCCTCTGAGTATTTCCATTTCCTCCAAGGTAGAAATATTCTAATGACGCCAGAATATATGGCATTCCTGGTATTGGCAGTTAGGTGATATTCCATGAGTTCCCTGCTTGACAATCCATTATACTATCTGGTGGGAAAAACAGAAATAATCTGATGTTTTCCAGAAGACCACCAGAAATAGTTGAGTTTCCTAAAAATGCAGCTTGGATGACTGCAAATCTGTCATCTAGAAAGACAATTATTTTAGCTTTGGTAGATGTGGTGAAAGATTTCCTTTTTTTTTTTTTAAAGGAGATGATACTTGTATTAATGTCTTTTCCCTTAATTTTCAGAGACCTGTTCTTTCTCCTAGTCACCTTGTCCGATCTCTGAGGATCTGACTGGGGAACACCAAGCTTCCTGCTAGACTTGACTTTGACTGTAGCACATTTGTAAAGTTTTCTGTAAATAATTGTGAATAAAGGACACGAACACCTTTTTAGATTAGCTTGACCAGAGCAGAAGGGTTATGCCACATTCCAGCTCTCCACCCTCACCCCTTCCTGCCCACACAAGCCACAGAAACCAGCCGCCAATGGTTCTGCTGCTGCCTGTGAGCTTTGGCCCAAGACAGGGGCATCTGACTCACCAGAAGACCAGACTGTGGAGAAATGAAAATAGTGCCTTTTGGTATTCTCTATGCTGTTGGAAGACAAGAGTCTTTAACTGGAGGTTAATCCTGGAAGATCTCCTGGAGTTTTCAGTGGTTGCTGTCTCTGAGGTCACTTAGTCCCTCAGATACTGAGGCTTCCAAAGAAACTTCTGGATGACACCAGAAGCTGTAGAAGACCAAAAACATCTCACTGCCAAATTCCTCAACCAAAGGCCCCAAACATCAGTATTGGAATGTGTAATTAAAACAGTCCCCCTTCAATGCTGTGTTCCTCTGTTGGGCGTCTCGTTCAATAAAATATGTGTGTGCCACTTAATCATTAACGTAGCACACGGGTACAATTGTTCCAATGTCAACCCCACCTTTGAGGGAGCCAGCAAATGTGTAAACATACCACTTGCTCCAAGAGAAAAATCAGAGAAGCAGCAAAATCTTCATTATCTAATGTTCTCTGGGTAGAATGGGTATGTTTTATTAGTATATAGTGCAGACCTGGAATTAATACAAAGACTGGAGAAACAGTAATATGTAGCTATTTTTCATGCTGAAAAATAAAAATAATCTAATGACTGTGTCATATAGCCTAAGTACACAAAGGCAAATTCGTAAGTGATGACAAAAAGATTACAGAGTTTTGCCTTGTGATTTAAGATATCCTTCATTTAAAAAGTTCCTCAGATATACTTCCAAAAGCACCCCAGATTGCTTGCTACATACAAGTCAGCCACTGAGCTAAGTATTGCAGGACACGGGTTTTGAATGCAGTCTCCTAGGTGGGAATTTGCGGTTTTGTGGAAGCTGTTAGGGAATTCTGATGCTCTAACAGCAGTGGGGACCACTGGGATTATAGGAAGGGATTGCTCCTGTCCCTGAAGGGTTTTGGCTACAATACACACCTGTATAAAATGATAAAGAAAGACAAACAGCAGTATAAATTTGAATAGCAGGAGTTCAGAAAATGCAAGGGACAGTTGGAGGGGGGGGAGGGGGAGAGACAAAACTCTGGACTACTATGAAGAGACAGGAAAATCAAAAGGGAGGAGGAGAATGGACTGATTTATTTACTTTTATGCTTGCTTTTGGGGGGAGGGGTAGTGATTCAGCATCTTGCAGCCAATGCCCTATCACGTGAACCAGGACTTCAGCCATTTGCTTTTATTTTTCAGATATAGGGTCTCCTGCTTTTTACCTGGGCTAGTTTGTAAAACTTAGTCTCTCACTCTACCTCTCTCATAGTTAGGACTACAGCTGTGAGCCACTGCTCCTAGTTTTGTTTTTCTGGAATGGGGAGCTTGATTTGAAATCATGATCCTTGTGCTTACGGCTCCCTGAGTACTTATGGCAGACGCCACAACACGCAGCTCCAGAGTAGACATTCTAACTTAGCAGAATAGCACCAAAAGCCGTGGATGTGCTTCATATGATTAACCGAGACCCTCTGTGATATACCAGATTACAACCTATTGAATGTAACAAAAGCATAAAACATGGACAGAAGCTTGGGGCATCTAGACCCAGGGAACATTGGATGAGTCACCACAATGCTTCAAACAGTCCAGTTCTCAGAACCTCCACCAGCAGTAAAATAAGATTTAAGACAGCATGAAACAGTTCTTTCAAGTAGTATAAAGACCCTGGAGGCAGAGAATCACAATCATAGGAATAAACATAAACTATGTGCTTTGTCCTGGGCATTATATAGTTTACAGAATACTTTTATGCTCCCAACAAATCATATAGGGTAAAGTAGTGCACACACACACACACACAAAATCAGGCACACAGGCCAGGCTTTATAAACTTGCTGGGTTTCTTGCTCACTGCTGGTGTTCTACCTCCTGAACCATGCCTTCCACACAGCCTTTTACTAGTTAATAGGAGATGAGATCTCAACTTTTCTGCTTGAGGTTGCCTTCAAATCATGATCCTTCAGGTCTCAAACTCTTTTGAGCAATTTAGGACTATAGGTGTTCATGCCCAGGGCAGGGAAAGACTTGTACTATCATTCCTGTTTTGCCAAGATTATACTCTTTGTACAACTACTGAATGATAAAATTAAAAAAAAAAACTATATTCCAGAGAGAGGGAGAGGGGGAGAGGAGGAGGGAAGGGTGAGGGAAGGGAGAGGCGGGGGAGGGGGAGAGGAGGGAGTCAAGCCCACACAGCTAGTGAGGATGGAGCTAGGTTAGGGATCTTTCAGCCCAGGTGTGTTCGCCTTTCTCTGCTGTGTTCTGGTGACTTGGTGTAGTTGGTGAGGCCAGGCGGAGCGCTAGGATTTGGGGCGGACTGCTCCCGCTCTCCTGGCCACCTGCAAGCAGTGTCTGTGCTGTGTGCGGATCACAGCAATGGTCAGGCGGGAACCTTGGGGACCCCTGTGGTGTGCGGTGTGGGACGGGACCCTGTGCGGTGTAGGATGGGGACCCCGGACCCTGTGCGGTGTGGGACTGACGGGGACCCCGCGCTGTGCGGTGTGGACGGGGACCCCGTGCGGTGTGAGGTGTGGACGGGGACCCCGTGCTGTGCGGTGCGGTGTGCGGTGTGGGATGGACGGGGACCCCGCGCGCTGTGCGGTGTGGACGGGGACCCCGCGCTGTGCGGTGCGGTGTGCGGTACGGTGTGCAGTATGGGACGGACGGGGACCCCGCGCGCTGTGCGGTGTGGACGGGGACCCCGCGCTGTGCGGTGTGGACGGGGACCCCGCGCTGTGCGGTGTGGACGGGGACCCCGCGCTGTGCGGTGTGGATGGGGACCCTGCGCTGTGCGGTGTGGATGGGGACCCCGCGCGGTGTGCGGTGTGGGACGGACGGGGACCCTGCGCTGTGCGCTGTGCGGTGTGGACGGGGACCCCGCGCGCCCCGCAGGCTCTGCCCTTCCTCCGCCCGCCGGGCCTGCGGGGGATGGTCCCTCAGTTGCTGGTCACCGGCTGGGCTGGGCCGGCCCCGGGGCGGGGGGGGGGGCAGAGCCCGGACGTCACCGTCGGAGCTCGCGCAGTGCACAGCCGCAGCGCACAGCCCAGCGCACAGCCCAGCGCACAGCCGGAGCGCACAGCCCAGCGCACAGCCGGAGCGCACAGCGGGCCGCGGCCGCAGCTCGGAACCATGCTCCTGGCCGGCCCGCGCCTCTGGGTCCTGGTGCTCCTGGGCGCCGGCTGGGCGGGCTGCGGAGGCCGCCGGGCCGAGGCGCTGGTGCGGACGTTCTACGTGGCTGCGCAGGACGTGGCCTGGAGCTACCGGCCCGAGACCCCGCAGCCAAGGTGACTTCACTGGGTGCGCCCCAGCGCCTCCAAGGGGCTTCGCTGTGTGCGTACGAGCCTGCCCCTGCCCCCCTCCCTGCCCCTG